GCAGGGCATTACTCTCACAAAGTCTGTTTGCCTTTCTCTTGATAGCTTCTAAGCACCAGGCATGGTACCAAATAGACTATCTTTTTTCAGTCTCACAGCAACTAAGGCTTTGCGGAGTTGAGTAACTTGTCCAAGGTCACAAGCCAGGTAAGTGGAGGATGTGGTTAGGAACCCAGAACCTCCACGGTTTACCACCATACTGTGTGGTTTGCAGATTCCAACGCCTCATTTTTATTGGTGAAAGATCAGACCAATATGGAGGGAATTGCATGAGCTTATCATATATAAGTATTAAGTATAAATTCATACTTATAAAACTAATGCAGAAAGAGCTCAAGAGCTTTTCTCTAGTAAGGGTTAGTATCAATATCAGAATAAAGTATGGTTTTTCAAAAGATTAACAAATGTATTTAGATAGGTGATTGGGGAGACTGAAAATTGTAGAAACTTACTACTTAAAATGAGTACCAGCCCTGGCCAGCAGCTCAATGGTTAGAGCATCAGCCCACACACTGAAGGTTCTCGGGTTCTATTCCCCATGAAGGGCACAATACCTAGGTTGCAGCTCTCCCTCTATCTCCCCCCCCCCCAACCTGTTTTCCATGGTCCGGACAGGTGTGGGAGGCAACCAATTGATGTGGCTCTCACACATCAATGCTCTCTCTCTTCCCTCTCTCTCTCACCCTCCCTTCCACTCTCTCTAGAATCAATGTGAAAAATATCCTCGGGTGAGGATTAACAACAACAACAACAAAAAGAGTACCAAACAGCAGCATCTTACTGGGAACTCATCAAAATGCAGACTCTCAGGTCCATTGCCCACACATATAAAATCTGCATTTTAACAAGCTTTTCGGGGGATTTATATGCACATTAAACTTGAAAAGTACTGCTCTATAACTGAAACACACACACACACACACACACTGAATGGTAAAGGTCTAGAAAAATATCCTTAGTGATTCTCAAAACACCACCACCACTTAGAAATGTAGGACTTCCAAATCAAAACAGGACCTTCTACTGAATTTGTAATTCTCAGTTTTCCTGCCACCAGCAACATCAATGTTCTAATGCCACTCTTCCCCAAACAAACACACACACTGAAAAACAAAAAAACTGAACGTGCTTCTAGAGCCAGAATTTTTCAGAAAGGGATTTAAAACTAGAAGACAGTCAAAAAGTATATGCCTATGGCTACTAATTTCAAAGGGCAGATGTATAAAAGAATTTGTTGGAAAAATGCATAAAGATAATTTATTTCATAAAGGTAAGAAATTAGGTGAGAAAAGAGAACAGATGGATATCTGCATTAATAGTGTCAACTTCTGCTGTGGCCAGTTTGGCTTAGTGGATAGAGCATGGTCCTGCAGACTAAAGGGTCGAGGGTTCAATTCCAGTCAAGGGCACATGCCGGGGTTGTGGGCTCGATCCCCAGTAGGAGGTGAGCAGGAAGCAGCCAGTCAATGATTCTCTCTCATCATTGATGTTTCTCTCTCTCTCTTCCTCTCTGAAATCAATTTTAAAAAAATTTTAAGTGTCAACTTCTCTAAGATATACTGCACAAGATCATACCTGCTAATTAATATTTTGGGGGCATGGAACGACGCTCCAACCAACTGAGCCACCTGGCCAGGGCTACCTGCTAATTAATATTTTAAAAGAACTGTCTAAAGATGACAAAATATTAACAAGTTACATGTTCTAAATGTTTTCTTTCACAAGTCATGAAGCCAGAAAAATGGAGTAAAAGTAAGGCTAATTACTTTCTAAAGTGATAAAAGGATGAAATAGCTCAACCTGAAGCTTTTGAATTTATTTCTGAATACTATATTCTAATTAAAACTTATTTATAAAGACTTACAATGAAGTACAGTTGGCAAATAGGTTAAAATTCCTTTGTAATATCAAGGCTTGCAGAAACTTGACATTATTTACTATGTGTAATAACTTTAGATTTCGTTAAATAATCATCTCAATTAGGAACAAATTGGCCAATCTGTGAACATTACAACCCTAACTGCATCAAATCTCTGGCATTATTATACTACCAAAAGTTTTAGTGGTTCTTAGTAGGAACCAGATATCAAAATAGAATATCATTCTGACTCCCATTTGACATATGGTCTCAAAAATTTCTAAAATACCTACATAGGTATCTCTATTCCATTATATAGTTATTCTGTGTTATAAATTCTAAATAGAACTGTATTTTGAAAGAAAATACACTCATAAGTAATACTATATAGAAAAAAATAGATATAGACTTTTTAAGCAATTTAATATCTTTATTCAACCAAGAATGTACTGATTCACCTGGACTGCCCAATTAATTTTTTAGAAAACATGATTTAAAAGTAGAATCCAAGTAACATCAATTTGAACTAAGTAAGCATTTAAAGGTAAAGATTTTAAATTGATACAGCAATTGATGAAAAAATATCTTAAAACCTATTCTAAAATTCACCTATCTTCTTTGCAAATTTGAGAAAGTTACTTACCCTTCTCAATCTTGTTGAAATTCCATCCATCTCCTCAATCCAGCAATTTAATAGAATTGACTCAAACCTCTAAAGAACTTTAGAGTCTCTTTGATTGGGGCTTTGGAGTCATAAAGACCTGAGTTTGAATCCTCATAATAGTTTGAATTCATATGCAAACAATACACTAGTGTGAGTGACCTTGGGCAAACTACTCAACCCCTCTGTTTCTTTGGCTGTTGTTAAATGACAGTTGTCATACCTTCATGGGTGGTGTGTGTGTGTGTGTGTGTGTGTGTGTGTGTGTGTGTGTAATAAAGATTATATGCAAACCACATAAAGTACCCAGGATGATTTTAACAATTTTGACTAACCTTCAAAAATATAGTTATTAAAAATAATAAACTCTCCAAATCTACAGTAGATATGTAAACATTGCATAAGTTATTTTTATCTTTTATAAAAGATGAATTGATGATTTAAAAGGAAGTAACCAGGGAAAATTGTTTAAACCAGAAATTAAGCTTTTGGCTTATCTTGTAAAATATCTAAAATACCATCACATAGTAATTCTAACGTTTCATTTTCTTTTTTTTTTTTTTTAATATATTTCTACTGATTTTAGAAAGGTAGGGAGAGGGAAAGAGAGAAACATCAATGATAAGAGAGAATCACTGATTGGCTGCCTCCTGCACAATCCCCACTGGGGACTGAGCCAAACCAAGTAGGGCTCATTTTAAAGTTTGTTTCTTTTAATTATTTTCTCAATAAAAAAAAAATCAATTTATTTGTAAAGGTTACATTTATTATTGCTTCTAAAATCCTTGAATGTTTACACTACAGCTGACACCATTAAAAGCCACCAGATGGTAAATGTTTAACCTTTGCCACAAGGGTAAAAAATATATTTGAAGTTTTATATAGACTGTAGTTATGGCTCAAATTTAACTCTCCTACAAAGAGTTAACTGAACCATATCAGAGGAGGTAGTTATTATGGCAATAAGCTGCAATAAAATAACAAATACTTTGCTCCTGAGATGTGTATTTTAATTTGAACTTAGCATAAAGTACATCTCTCTTCACACACACACACACATACACACACACACACACACACACACACACACACACACACTGCATTCTACTATCCTGTTATTCAAGTGAAATGGAATAAATTTGAGGGAAATTTTTGACAGGTGTGGGACAGAGATTCATAGATTCAAAGAAACTTCATGTTTCTATAGGCTTTAAATGAATCATTTGATTTGTTCTCATTGGGCGATTAGAAGGTTTGTGAACTTTGCTTCTCCCCACTGTTTTGTGTTTATTAGTTAAACAAAGTTAATGTGTACAAACCCAGTCCTGTAAGATTTGTAATTCTTACCAGAGAAACTGCCAAATACTGTGAGTACTTTTTTATACTTCAGCATTCAATATATTAAAGCCTCCTGACTTTTTTAAGGAGTTTACTAAAGACATGTTTACTAAAATCTTTATATTTAAGAGTGTAACTCAGAAGACCATCTTGTTTTGGCTCAATCTGAAGGTATCATACTTCTTTCAGAAAAGAATTTTTGCTTTTTACAACATAATTAAGAGATTTCTAGAACTGATAATCTAATTTTCAGTGAAAATTAAAAACCACACACATAAAAAATAGGCATCAAAATCCTATTAAAGGATAAATATATTTAAGTTTGACTTAAATGTCTACAGTTTCTTAAAAAGTATGTAAGGGACATTTTCCTTTTGATTAAAATACTAGGTTTTTAATAAAAAGGTTTTCCATAATAAAAAAAAATTACTTTGTTCGGTTTTGTGAGGGGAGGGGAGTGAGGGAGGGAAGGAAAAGGTGGAAAGAGGTACTCTAAATCCTACCTGACTAAAAAAAAATTTTACTATCATAGATTTTGGTTGGTTGGTTGGTTGGTTGGTTGGGTTTTGGTTTTGGGTTGTGTGTAAGTGTGCACACGGGCCTGGGAGAGAGGGAGAGAAAAGGTATAATGAGCAAAATGACAGTTTATGAAGCCTGTAAAGTCTACCTTGGAACAAATTCAAATGCACAAACTCCACAAGTCTACGGATTTGCCTAGAGCTACAAAGAATAAAAATCAAGGCAGCACCGCCCAACCCCAAACCTACTAAAAGCGTGTGGTGAACTTAACCTTTTACTCATTGTTGTGCTTAGGAAGTAGGCACACTGGTTCATAGAGAAGAAGAAGAAAAAACAAAACACAAAAACCCCAAAGTTCCTCGTGCCGCTGTCTTAAAAAAAAAAAAAAAAAAAAAAAAGCAAAATGAGTGAATGCATTATACTAAATAAGCCCGAAATCGCATTAAGCTGCCACTTGCATGACACTTACTTTGGCACGGGCACGTACCTGTCTGCAAAAAAAAAATAAAATAAAATAAAATAATATATATATATATATATCTTATTCCTTGCCCTAAAGACAGAAGCCTCGGTAGCAAACAGTGAAGTTCGGAGTGCTAGCATTTTGATTGCAAACCATCCTACCTGTCAGCGTGATTCTTTCGTCTGGGGACACGGAGAGGACTTGGCTTTCCCGCATGTTCCGAGCTCCTGGACGTGGAGAGGCGTCCTGCGCTCCCGGGACTTTGGGGGGTGTCCCCTCGGCGCGGCCCTTCATGCCCAGCGACAGCAGGCGTCCCTTGTACATCCACTTCTGCAGCTTCTTGACGGTCACCGCGGGCGGCTTGAGGAAGGGGAGCCCCTCGGGGTCGTCCCCTTTGCTGCCTATCCCAGGCGGGGAGCCCGCAGGATCCCTGAAAGCGCGCCCCGGGGAGCGGCCGGGGTCCTTGGAGCGGGGACTCGGGAAGCCGTGAGACGCCGCGCGGGCGGCCGGCGCGCGGCCCCCGCTCCAGCCGTCCATCCCGCCTCCACGTGGCGGGGGCTCGTCCCGGTCCCCGGGGTCCCCGCGCGCCGCGCCCCCGACGCAGCTGTCGCTCGGCCACCGCTGGAAGGGAGCGGGCTTGGCACCGTCCCGGAGGAGGCTCTCGAGGCTCCTGCTGCAGGGCAGGCGCATCCGAGGGGTCCGGCCTCCTCTCCAAGGCTCCCTCGGAGGCGGCCAGGGCGGGGACACCTGCTGCCCAGGGCGGCCCGGGGCCCCCCGCTCCCGGTCCCGGGGGCCGGCCCGGCGGTCCGCAGCGCCGTCGGCGGAGGGCGGCTGGCCCGGAGCCCGGGCTCCCGCAGGGCAGCAGCGACCCGTCCGGCCCCGCCGCGCGCCCGGGTCGGGGGGCAGGTCGTGCATAGCCTGGATCAGCAGGTGATAGGCCTCTCGCAACTGGGTCTGCAGCCTGCCCGTCTCCAGGCAGCCGCCCCCCGCCCCCGGGGAGGAGCCCGCCGCCGCCGCCGGGGGAGGCGGGGGCCCCCGCTCCGCCCCCTGGGGCTCCGGCGCGGGCCGGGCGCCGCCGCCGCCGGGCAGGTTCTCGTAGTAGTCGGCGGCGTCCTCGTCCTCCTCCTCCTCCTCCTCCGCGCTGCCCTCCGAGTCCGGCGCGGCGAGCACCAGGGCGCGAGCGAGCGCGCGGCCCCGGGGGGCGGCCTCCTCCTTCCCGCCGCGCGGCCTCGGCCCCCCGAGCGCCCCCGCAGGCTCCTCCGGGCGCCGCCCCGCGCCCCGTGCCAGCGGCGACGGCGGGAGCGGCTCCGGGCTCCGCGGGGCTCGGCGGGCGCGCTCGCGCTGGGGGCCGGCCGGGGCGCCCCCCGCGTCCCCGTGCGCGGCGGAGGAGGCCGCCACGGTGGCTGCGGCGGCCGCCCGGAGCCCGAGCCCGCCGGCGGCGCGGGGCCCTCGCCTCCCCCGGAGCCGGGACAGCGTCCTCCTCAGGGGGTCCGCCATGCCCTCGGCCTCAGGGCCCGGGACCTCCCCCGCCGCGGGGAGAGGCCGGAGCCCCGCTCGGGAGAAGGCGGCGTTGGCGGAGGCGGCGGCGGCGCCCCATGACCGCGCGGGCCCTCGCGGGCTCCTCACATACTTGGCATAACTGTGCCCGGGAGGGCGGGGGCGGCGGCGGCGCGCAGGGCGCATGCCCCGGGCCGGGCCGCGACGGGGCGCGCGGGCTGCGAGCTGCCGGGCTGCGGGGCCGAGGGAGGGGGGGTGGGGGCGGGGAGGTGCGGGAGCTGAAGTGCACGCAGCCAGCGTGGGGGTGCAGGGGAAAGGCTTGGGGAGAAAAGGGGTGAGTCTGTCCAGGCTGGAGGCTGCAAAGTTTGTGTTAGGGAGACAGAAAGGGAAAGTGCCCTCCTGGCTGCCACCCAGCATGTTCACCACCCTCCCCGGGGCCACCATTGCAGGAGCAAGCCGTGACTTGAGAGAAAACAAAGTATGAGCACAGGTGTATCTCGGTACCGTGTGTTCCAGAAACGTTCCCAATCGTTTTATTTGCACAGAGAGTTAGCTACTTCAAGGACCTTGGCAGGGATTCCTTTTTTCTTTTTCTGTGTGTGTGTGTGTGTGTGTGTGTGTGTGTGTGTGTGTGTGAGAGAGAGAGAGAGAGAGAGAGAGAGAGAGAGAGAGAGAGATTCCTTTTCAGCCTCCCCCTCCCCCATCCAGGCGAACACAAAATTAATTCAGACATCAACCAAAACTTGTAAAATGGAGCTTTATTTTGATTAAAGCTGGATTGAGGAACAATTGGATTGAAATTTAGAAACACTGTCATTTGCAAATACCAACTCTCAAACATCTTCTGTGTAACAGTTGTAAACTAAAGCACCTCGCGTTGGAATCAGTGTGTTGCATCATCCCTGACTTCAGTAACATTTTTCAGTGTTTACACATTAGAAAGGGCCTTTGTGAGCTAGCTCATGGATGTATTTCTATCTCCCAGCACAGTACTTGCACGTAGTAAGTACTCAAGAATTATTTGTGAATAAAAGCTTGCATAACTGAATGAGAATTTAACTCTAACATACTTTCCAAGTATATTTCTCTATGTATTCTTCCCCCCCTCCCCCCAGCTAGTCAAAGGTTCCAATCAATAAATGTGCTTTAATCTATACTAGCCTTGTTGTTACCTGGTCTCTGCTTCCTTGGAATATTTTTACTCGAATTTCTATCTTCAGAAATCTTACCCATCCTTTAAGATTCCACCCAACTAGCCTTGGATGGGTAGCGCAGTTGGTTGGAGCATTGTCCTGATATGCCAAGGTTGAGTCTTTGATTCCTGTTCAGGGCACATACAGGAGTCACACAATGGCCATAACAGGTTTGGCTCAGTGGATAGAGCATGGGCCCATGCACTGAAGGGTCCTGGGTTCAATTCTGGTCAAGGGCATGCACCTTAGTACCCGGGCTCCATCCCCATTAGGGCGCGCGCGGGAGACAGCTGATCCATGTTTCCAACTCCCTCTCCTTTCCTCTCTGTAAAATCATTAAAATATATATTTTTAAAGCAAATGAATGCATAAATAAGTGGAACAACAACTTGATCTCTATTTCCCCCCTCTCTAAAATCAATAGAATTTTTTAAAAAGAAAAGAAGATCCCACCCAACTTTCTTTATAAAATCATCTCTGATCTCTCAAATGGACATGATTTCCATTCTTCAAACTCCAACAGTTCTTTATTTATATAGTATATTTATTTCTTTTGTTTTATACAAAACATATCCTTTCTCCTGCAGAACAAAATTCATAAACTCCTGAAGGGCAGCAACTATTTATAATTGACATTTGTATTATCCACAAAGTATAAAAACAGCATCTATGTACTGGACATGATAACTAAATATTTTAAAATCGGTGTCAACTTTTAATTTAAAGGAAATAAATGGCTCTAATTTCCAATCTATTGCCTAACTCTCCACTAGACCATACTGTGTATTAGTGTTGTTTTAAAAATTTTTCAGTGATGAAGAAGAACATAGTTTGTTAAATTATCTTAATTCCGATCTAGGAAAATAGCATGAAATGTTACATTATAATTTGCATACATCACTATTTTTAGTTCTACACTATGTCTAGTCCATGGGATCAAGGCTATTGAATGAATAATAAAGGCATAAAGTTACATTCCAGTGAAATATTCCCACAGAAAATGACTGATAGTAAAGCTGCCAATAATGGCGACTATGATATAAACAATTTGATCTATCTCAGAAATTGTTTCCATCCCAACTCTCGGTTGCAAGATCTTTCACTGCTTTGCAGTTAACATATTTGTTAAGAACAGCATAAGATAAATATGAAAAATGAATGTAAACATATAAGCTTGAAGGGCTAGATGAACCTCATTTTCAGTTCATCTTGCCAACACGTTGAGTTGAGTTACAAGACATGTTAGCCAAATACTGTGCGTTGTTCCAGGCATTACCCAGAACTCGTCTGATGCTGCACAGCACCAGACTGAACTTCATGCCACTTTAAAGCTGAGAGTGTTCCATCACATAAATTCCCAAGTGTTAAGAACTATTTTGGTCACAACAGAAATTGATAAGGCAGCCATGGCAATGTGACCCTACTTATTAACCTTAAAAATGCGAGACCCTCTTTTCTATATGTGCATTACTCTTCAGTAAGGGTATTAAAATTTCATTCTAAGAAGATAGTGCCCAGAGAACTAACATTATACATCTTATAATTAAGGCGGTGACCAAACAGAAACATTATCAGCTATGCTTGTAAAATCCTTTGTGTGTGTGTGTGTGTGGTGTGTGTGTGTGTGTGTGTGTGTGTGTGTGTTTTAACAGTTCATAACTTCTCCCTCCAGTTAGCTGAATTGTTATATATTTCTAATCAACATTCCTTTGAAGATCGGGTGGGATGGGGTGATTTTCCAGTGTTTGTAGTTGCTTCTCACTGACTTGGAAATCATTTTGATGCCCCATGTGTTAACAGGCCGCAGCACTGTCACAAAAGGTGAAACAACTATGGGATAGCAGGGCTCCGGGGAGGCAGGGAGCCAAGCTAGACGCGGGGCAGGACTGGCAGTCTGGGAGGGACACGGGGAGGGCAGGTTGAGGCAGTAGTGGAAGGAAACCATCTAGGTATGTCATGGTTATTTTCTAGGTAATTAGAATCCATTTCTGTCTCACTGCTGCTCAATCTTCCATTTTGCTCAGTGGAACCAAAGGCAAGTTTAACGCTGGCAAATGCTCAGTTTTCCCTCTAACTGCCTTGGTGTAGCAGACCTGCCTGCTTTGCCATGCAGTTCCTGAAGCTGACTGCACGACCACTGCCCTGAGGATCAGAGCGAACTGCACTACCACTGTCCTTCAATACAGCAATTTTTATGGCTCATATTTTCATGATTAACAATATCTGGCAGTTGACAACATTTCTTACTTCATCCCACCCTAATCAAAATGATTGAGGGTGAAGGGGGAGGTTTGCTAAATGTATTTTCCAACTTTTTAGAAATCTACAATGTTTAGAATGTAGGCTAATATTTCGGGTTCTCTTATTATATAGGTACACTATGCAGAGTAGTAACTTGCTCAAGGTCACCAAAAATGAAGGGGAATTCAAACCTTGTCTAATTGCACATCCACCCTTGGCACGTTTCCTAGAATAAAAAAAGAGAGAGAATTGACACTTGCACTGACTTGAGCCTTTGTTTTTATAAATTATTTAGGTGGCTGCCTATCAGAAAGGAGTTTAATATTTTATTATCTTTTGTGAAATGCAGTGGAACATTGGAAAGCTGTTTGTTGAACATTTGAATGCTTCTCAGGGCAGTCCTCCTCAAAGATGTTAAAACCAAATCCTATAACCTATTCCCATTTAACAGTAAATTTGTTCATTTTTATTTATTTATTTACTTTAAAATATATTTTATTGATTTTTTACAGAGAGGAAGGGAGAGGGATAGATAGCCAGAAATGTCGATGAGAGAGAAACATTTGCTCACCCTTGCACACCCCCCACCGGGGATGTGCCCACAACCAATGGATATGCCCTTGACCGGAATCGAACCTGGGACCCCTCAGTCTGCAGACCGACGCTCTACCACTGAGCCAAACCGGCTTCGGCTAAATTTGTTCATTTTTAAGCCAGGATGTGAAACTGCCTCCCGTAAATGTAGTCTAATTTTAAAGGTAAAACAAGCTACAATTAAATACCATAAAAGTAAAATATATACAACCTTAAAACCACTGGATTTCTCAGGCAAACCTCTTTCAAAATTAAAATGATGAGATAGCCTGTCTCTCCTAAATGACTCGTACCTCAAGGTATCACATGGTTGATGAAGGGAAGTTGCTCTGTTTCAAAAATTGTCAACCTAATAAAAAAAATTAATATAGAATTATTACCATTCAGCACCCTAATGAAATGATGGATCTGGGCTAAAAACTACCAGTGGCTACTAACATCAGCAATAAAAAAAGAACCAAATGGAAATTTTAGAAATGAAAAATACAATGACCAAATAAAATTAAAAAAAATTTTTTAATTCACTGGATAGCCGAAACCAGTTTGGCTCAGTGGTAGAGCATCGGTTTGTGGACTGAAAGGTCCCAGGTTTGATTCCGGTCAAGGGCATGTATGTTGGTTGCGGGCACATCCCCGGTAGGAGGTGTGCAAGAGGCAGCTGGTCAATGTTTCTCTCTCATTGATGTTTCTAACTCTCTATCTCTCACCCTTCCTCCTCTCTGTAAAATATCAATAAAATATATTTTAAAAAATAAAATTCACTGGATAGACTTCAAAGAATGGTGGTAACACAGAAAGAATGGGTATACTTGAAGGTATGTCAACAGGAATTTTCCTATCTGAACTTCAGAGGAAAATGATTTTTAGAAAAATGAACAGAGCCTCAAGGGCTGGTTGGTTAATAACTAAAAGTTTGACATTCACGTCATCAGTGTCCCAGAGGGAGAGGAGAATGTAGTACTGAAAAAATAT